AGAGAGAGAGAGAGAGAGAGAGAGAGAGAGAGAGAGAGAGAGAATTAAAAAAAAAAATGCCTTGGAATTGTATCTCAAGAAACAGGACCATCTCAGAGCCAGCAAACACCAGAGTTCTGGGAAAGCAGCATTTCTGGAGACCCGGCATGGGGATCCGGTGCTGGGGTGTGTGTTTCAAGATTCTGGCAGAAACTGTCCCCTGCTCCAAGAGTTGGTATCCCTGCAAACCCAGCGATCAAACTAGTGTCTTCATCCTGGCGCTCCTTTCCACCTATGTGGGAGTAGCTGGTGGGACACTTCCCACAGAATTCGGCCAGCACCCCCAGGAAAAGCCCAGGCATAGTTTTAAGAAATAATAACAATCATCCTAACAGACACACAGGCAAGGTTGGAGTACTTACCTCCGTGCGAGACTGCAGCCTCTTGTTCATCTCATAGATTCGGTACTCTGGCTGCACCATGTATGGTGTATGTCTCCTATAAAATGGGCCGAAAGGAGAAGAATAGAAGGGGTCGTGGGGCGTGCTGGACATCTTGCCTGCTTGTCGAAAATCAAGCTAAACAGAGTATCAGTAACGTCCATGCAGAGCACATGGGCTGTGTTCTCCCAGTACGAAGTAGACGCACGCACACGCTGCACACCGAGGCGGCAGGCAGGCTGAGCACACTGGCTGGGAAGTGCTGGGGGAGCCTCTAGAGCGAGAGGGAGCGGGCGCGGGAGGAGGGAGCGGGAGGGAGCACGGGAGAGGAGGAGAGGGAGAGCGCAGGAGCTCGGGAGGGAGGGAGGGAGGGAGGGAGGCTGGTAGGGAGGAAGGGAGGGAAAGAGGGAGGGAGAGAGGGAAAGAGAGAGAGGGAAAGGCAGGATCGCTGGAGGCACCCCAGCTTGTTTTTAAAGAAGCAGTTTGTGGAGAGGTCATTTCCTGTCCACACTGTAGACTAGTTCAAAAATATAATTCTCCTCTTGGTCTGACAAGAGGGCTAAGACTGGGGTTTAATTTTTTTCCTCCAGCCAGGACCCTTCACAACCCGATGGCTAAAGCTTGTCAACCCAGAGGTGGTTTAACCGCAGCAGGAGCCACGCGCCCCAAACAGCCACAGTTGAAATGTTGCAGAAATGCGATTCCTAACAAATACAGAAACAGGGCACTGTGGTCCCCCGCCCCCCCCCCCCCCCCCCCCCCGCACTGGAGCTGGGGAGTCGCTCCCATGCGAAGAGCTCTCTGGGCTCCAACCTGCACACAGAGTTTGGACTCCTCTTGGGGTCTTTCCAGGAGCCTGGACAGCCTTTGCATTCCTACTCCCCACCCCCACCCTTCCAAATCACCCTCTGCCCAGCCCCCTCCCTCTCTCCCAAGACTTCAATGGAGCTCTTTAAAGGTGGTGCCACAGGCCTGGATTCAGGTTACCTGAGCATTTGCAGGTAAAAAAAAAAAAAAAAAAAAGAGAGAGAGAGAGAGAGAGATCATTCTGAAGGTGGAACATCTAAAATACATCCTTGGGGCAACCGTCTCTTTTTCCTAAGGAGGGAAAAAAAAAAATCCCAAAGCAGACCTCCCAATAAGATAGAAAAGGCAAAGTAGGAGAAAACGCCCACAAAAAATGACCATGGAAAATTCTGTTGAGCAGGAAATTGTAGATAATTGAGTGGATCATCCCCAAATAGCATGCCCAACTCTGATGGAGACAAGGTCTTTATTTTCCAAGATTGGTCAAGTCTATAAATCTTTTCCTGACTGTGGTATATGAAAACCCAACCAGCTCATGGGAGGGGGAAAAAAGATCTCTATAGAGAATTAAGGGATCTATGAGATAATCAAATTCTGCTGGAACCAATGATAACCAGACATATGACACTTACACAAAGCCCAGCCACAGAAAATGTAAATGCATTGAGCTCACACCTTAGGTAGGTCACTGGTATTAAGGAAAGAAAGCCAAGGACCACCAAAAAGCATGAGGAATGCAAGACCTGAATGCAAATGCATGCAAATGAGACCTTTCTTCTTTTTAATAAGCAGATTAATTAACTTTCTGCCCCAATCATGGCTTGGGGTATCTCCAAGACACTAGCCAACAGGGGATAAGGGATTGCTAATGCAGCAATTTACACTCTGAAGAATACTCAGGCGCAAAAATGCCCCCAAATTGCTGTCTCAATCAGTCTTGTTCCATAATTGCATGAAGTGTTTGCAGAGTCCACCCCAAACTTCAGCAGCACAGACCAACACAGTAATGCTGCTTGCCAGGAGGAGATTAAGAGAGGTTACTCTAAGGCTGCTTGGAACCTGTGCAAGGAGACCCCAAGGCAGGCCAGCATGCTTGGTGTCGGGTTTCATTACAAATCCAAAAGCTGGACCAAATTTGCTGCAAGGTTTGTCAAAACACACAACCTTCTAAAGACGGGATTTCAAACAAATTTGGCGTGATTTATGTTTTGGTATGGCGGCCACTGCAAACCCTAACGGTTCCTTGTGTTTAAATTCCCAAATTTAAAGACGTTCCAAGAGTTCAATGCCTGCCTGAGTTTGTGTTTACGTGGCCATTTCAGAGCAAGAATCAAAGTAACTCACTGGCAGGGCATGAATGGTAATCAACCCTGACCAGCTCAGAACTTCATTCCATGCAGGAACCCTTTCCTGAGCAGGCAAAGTTCGGCTCTTATTCATTCCTGCAATTATCTGAGTTACCATTAGAAATATCTCTTGCTGTACATACAAAGGACTCCAAATTCAGAACCACATGAAATTCTCTAAAGCTTCTGCCACATCTGTGACTTCTCTTCCCTGCTTCAAGAGTCTCCAAACTGGTCTCCTAGCTCTGATTCACAGCTGTCTTCCAACTCACCACCCACCATCCTCCTTGTAGTCAGGATGTTGATTGTAGGAAAGAAAAATGGATCATGCCCATGGTTTTCCCTTTCAGTGGCTTCTTGTTACCCATAGGGAAAGGTCTCTGAGCTCTTTAAGCTCAATATGCAGAGCTGGGGGTGCTGGCTCTCTTTCTCACCCACACCCTCACAACTCTATGGATGTATGTGTGTATTCTTTTGTTAACTTGTTCTTTTATTTATTTACTTGCTATTTCTTATCCTCTGGAGGTTGCAGGCTCCTTTCATACACAGGACCACATTTGCCCTGTCTTCCTTATTCAGCTGCAAACTCCTACTCCTCCTACCACCCAATTTAATGATATCCCACATGAAACTTTTTAAGCTCAATTTTTTTATTTCAGCTGATCTTCCATTCATGGTGGACAGAGGTATCACCCAGAGCACATTTCAACCCTGCTGCTATCATTTATCTGCATTGCAAACTTGGGCAAGCCACTTGTCCTCGGTCATCTTATCTGTTAAATGGGGACAATGGTAGTAACAGGTCCAGAGGATTTTTGCAAAGGATTAAGAACTACATCTGAATGTACCAGAAATCCCACGTCTAAATGCTCAAGGAACATTATGATTTTTTAAGTACCTGGTATCTGCTTAGATGCTAAGGAGCCTTGGAAGGCCAACACAGATGGCAGAAAGGCAACTAATGAGGGAGAAACCTCCTAGAAGCAGTAGTTGACATTTGAGAACATGGATTCAAACTATAGTGCATGGCATGATGGAAATAAATGAAAGAAAGAGAGACGACCATTCCTTCCCACCCCCCCAACCTTGGCTCAGCAGTACTTCTACATTTTTTAATTTGAAGATTTCCACATAAAAATAACATAACAATTACTGTGATTTGTTAAGTATTCACTGTGTGCAGATACTGTGCTGACTGCTTTGCTCAAAAACTCTCAGTTAATCTCTCAAGGGACCTACAGGTTTGATTTCATAACAGTCTCCACCATAGATATGGAAACTGAGGCTTCCAGAGCTAAGAAAGTTTTCCAGGTCAGTCAGTGGTTAAGTGTCAGGGGCGCCATCACATGTCCTGCCTGACTGCCTGGTGCCCACGTTTTGTTGCTTGGAGCAGAGGTCCGCCCTCATCCTGAAAGCTCTGTTCTTTGTCCCTGGTGACCAGTGTGGACCTAATTAAATGGAAGAAGAGGAAACAAGGCAAAGAAGCCCCCATTCCCTGGCTGTCAGGCGTCCATCATCCTCCACTCTGACCCCTTCTCCTGAGGCCTTGCCAAGCCCCCACCCTCCTCAGGGCCGGAAATCTGCCCGTCCACATTCCTGGAACTCCTAAAGCTCTCAGCTAAGGCAGGGCAGGAACAGACCCCACCGCCCAGGACACTTCTCTTCCCCACAAAGCCTGAGCCAAGCTCATTTGCCTGTTATTCTGCATATCGACATTGTCCCTCATTGAGTAAGTTCCAAAAGGCCTTGCACATTGGGGTGCCCTAAAAGCCAGCCTGCCCTATGTTCAGGACTCACCCAGCTACATTCATCTTCATTTCCTCCACAGTGGGTTTTCTCCCCGCCTTTAGATACTTTAGTTCAGTTTAAGAAGTGAAGGAATTCATGCACATTTCTGATCTTCATCTTCTCTTAAAAAACCATGAGCTGTGGTGATCCCAGCTCCACTCTGGCTTCATGGCAGGGTACAACTGGACCTGACACTTGGTGACCTGCAGCCAACAGAGTGCCCTGGCCTCACCACTCAAGCCCCTGATTCCCACTTGCATGGCTGGTCCTTCTAGGTATCCAAGTCATTGTCCTTTTCCTTAATCTATGCTACTGAACACTTTCCAACTCTTTCTACCAAGCTCTTTTTACTTAGTAGAAAGCTAGTTTTCTTGCTGTTCTTCAGGTTTCCAACTCTGTCCTTTGACTCCTGTTTCTGCACCCTGTATTTTCCTTCTGCCTTTACTTTCAACAATCATTTGCATATTAGGTATATGCAAAGTGCAGCTGAGGTGTAGGGGTGATAATGATAAAGACAAGCAAGGCATGGTCTCTGATTTTGATTGGTTTATAGACCTACAAAAATGTGCTTCAATTATTTAACAAGTATAAACTTAGTCCTTACTATGAACCTTAGCTGGGAATATAGCCCCAGGAGCAAAACCAAAGGAAACAGAATAATGCCCCAACACAAGTGACTTTAGAGTGGAGAGTCTGACTTAAATACTCCTTGTAAGCATGAACTTTGGAGCCCCACCAACTTGGCTTGAATCTGGACTCCTGCATCTACGGCACTTAACTTCTCTGTACCTCAGTTTTCTCATCTGCAAAATGGTGCTAATAACAATCCTGCGAGTCTTATGAGGAATATGTAAACAAATGCACGTAAACTGATGATAAGATTCTGGCCTTTAGTACATGCTCATAATCATTTCTGCTTTTCAGTAGACAAAGTTGTAGAAATTAATTAGCCTCAGACATTCACGTAAAGTGACTCTGTGGGGCATAGAGGATGTGCTGGGACAGGGAATAGACATGACGGTAGAGATGAGACAGAAAAGAGTCTAAATCATAACAAGATACACATCTTCAACTTTATGAATAAAGTAGTAACTTATAAAGAGCTAAGACTTCCTCTTCAGAGGAAGGAGGGATCCATTCAAATTGCTCAAATCAAGGAAGTCCTCATAGAGGACTTGGCATCTGCATTCATTCTTGAAGGATCAGCCTTCATCAGAAACAAAGATAAAAGTTTGAGAAGGATTTTGCCAAGCAGGGGAAACACTGTGGAAATGAACACATTTGCCCTCACACAGTCAATAAATCTGGTGTGTTTGTCAGCTTTGTGTTCCTGTGACCAAAATACCTGACCAGAGCCACTTAGAGAAGGAAACTTCT